AATAAAAGTTGTAACTGTTACGGTCCCTGCTACAATGCTTTCTTATTTACTGTCCTTAAGCTCTTAAGTCTGTTCTGCCTTTTCCAAGTTGGATAGGGAAGCAAAGCGCATGGGTCTGGTGGTAAACGAGGACAAGACGAAGTATCTCCTGTCATCAAAACAAACAGTCAGCACATTCGCGCCTTGGCACCCACGTCACTGTTGACAGTTACAATTTCGAGAAAGTAGAGAATTTCGTTTACTTGGGAACCAGTATTAACACCGATAATAATGTCAGCATTGAAATCCAACGTAGAATCACTCTTGCCAACAAGTGCTACTTTGGACTGAGTAGGCAATTCAGGAGTAAAGTCCTCTCTCGACGTACGAAAACCACGCTCTATAAGTCACTCATCATGCCCGTGCTGGTATATGGCGCAGAAGCATGGACAATGACAACATCCGATGAGGCGGCTCTTGGGGTGTTTGAGAGAAAGATTTTGCGGAAGATTTACGGTCCTTTACGCGTTGGCGACGGCGAGTACCGCAGACGATGGAACGATGAGCTGTATGAGCTTTACAACGATATGGACATAGTGCAGCGAATTAAAATACAGCGGCTCCGCTGGCTTGGTCATGTCGTTCGAATGGACACCGACGCTCCAGCTCTGTAAGTATTCAACTCGGAACCCGCTGGTGGTAGCAGAGGAAGAGGGAGGCCCCCACTGCGATGGAAAGATCAGGTGGGGAAGGACTTTGCTTCACTTGGCGTTTCCAATTGGCGTCAGTTGGCACAGAGCGCTTAGGTCGCTTAGGCGGTTACAGCGCCAAAAAAGAAGAAGAAGCTCTTAAGAAATTTGAGGTGAACCGTTATTTGTAGTGAACCATGGGTTTTTTAAAATTAAAGAATTTGAATCGTATTTTTCTCATAGAAAAATAACTCCTATTAAAACGACCGTCCCAAGGAAGAAAACTTCATGCAGATTCTTGTTTGATTTTATGTTAAAGTCCTTAAAATAGGCAAAGAATTTAAGTAAAAGCATATGTATTTTTTCATGTTTAGTAAACAATTGACATAGCCGAATGGATGCAAGTTCGACTGTGGGACTCAGTAATCTGGTATCCAGGAAAGCCTTATCGCATTTCCTGATACCAAAAGCTAAAGGGTATCCAAACACTCCGTGACGAGCTTCGAAGTGGTAATTTTATTGTATAGGGTGTTGATGGGCGTATGGCTGTCTGAAAAAATAACTATAATCGCGCGTATGAAATTCTTTTCACGGTCCACCCATAGACCGTAACTAATCTAGCCAAAACCAACCTGTTTTCTGGCGTTTGGGTTTAGTAAACTCACACAACTCCTTGTCGTATGCTCGATGAACTCATAAGCTTCATGTAGAGCTCAGGATATCAAGTGGAACCTACTCAAACTAGAAAGCTCTCTTAAGCTTGATTACTGTAGGGTATATATGAATCTACCTACATATGTACATCCCTCCTATATATGTATGTGTGTATGCACAACTAACTAAAGTGAAACAAGACTGTCAGAGCGTTGACAGCTGTTTTACATGCAGACTTAGGACAAGTGAAAATATTAAGAAAAAATGTGTGTTAAAAAAAGCATAAAAGATGAATGTAGGAGAAGGCGGCGCGCAAAAACTGAGGGCAAGAAGAAGAAAAAAAAACACTACGAAAAAAAGTTGTCAAAATGAAAAAAATGGCGGATAAGATTAAGGCCAACCGCCAGTCAGTCAACTGCCAGCTGGCACAGACATGTCGCGCCTTTTGTGTCTCACTCTGCGCGTCGGTATATATGTATGAATGGCGCATGCAAATCTTATGCTTGCATACATACATACATTTATGCACTATGTGTACATAGGTAGGTAGCTGCTACTTTCATTCATATCTTCATGCACACATACGAATGTACCTATGACAGCTGCAATGACTGAGTGGCGGTAGCAGTCAAAAAAGTGATAGCAGAGCGTATAGCGTGGAATAAGCTGAGAGCCAGCAAGGTATGTAGCGTAACGTCGCGACGCGTCGTCCTGGCATATTGTCATACTCAACGTCAAGGACTCACACACTTACATATGTGCATATGCGTATGTATGTACATAACTTGAGTGGGTGAGTGTTGATATGGGTATGTGTGCGTGTGTAAGTATTTTTTTGATTTTAACTAAGCTCTTTCTTGCCTGCTCGGGTCTTCTGCATACCAAAAAACTGAACTTTTTAAACGGATAAAAGTGATAACTTTTCAGTTTTTAACCTTTTTCAAAGACAATCTCGCTATAAGTGAATAAATCAGAGGCAACGATGCAAACAGCAAAAGTGTAAAATCTTACAAAATATATTCTAAATAAATACAAAGTGCGGATGCTTTCGGGGAGAAACTAAGAAAAACTTGTCAACAAAAAAAAAAGGAGGCAGTAAAGAAACTTTAGCGTTCATAAACGAAATAAGTGTAAGTGACAGGAACATCGAAAATCAGAGAAAAAACTAGAAAAAAAAAGTGCAAGAATGAATGCACAACGTAACTTACTTATTCTACTATTTATCTTACAGACATACATACATATTTCTTTAAACATTTTCAACTCCACCCACTCAGTTGGTTACAGTTTAGCAAATGCCAAAAAGGCAGAACCAGCATTTAATCCTTTTCAGTTTTTGTTCTTTCAGGTTTTTTATTTTAATTTTTCGTCCGCATTTTGCAATTCTGCCTTTGATATTTGCTGCTTATTTGAGAAGCTAAAAATAATAAATATTTTCCTGCACTCGTTTTGTTACTTTATTTTGAGAAAGCAGGCTAAATTTTGATTACGATTACGATTACGTTTTCGGTTACGAATACGATGCCGATTATGCATACAATACGATTACGGATACAATAACGAATTTGATAACGAATATGGAAACGATAACGAATGCGAATAAGATTTCCAATAGTAAAACGAATACGATTAGGAATACGAATACTAATATCAATACGATAGCTTATATGAATACAATGACGAATATGATTAAATATACATAGATACGACTACAAGCACTTATACGAGTATGATTAAAAATATGAATATGAATACGATTACTGTTACGAATGCGACGTGACTGCGAATACGGATACGGAATACGGATAGAAATACAAATAGGAATACATTCTTGAATACGAAAACGATTCCCAAGACGAATGCTATTTCGACTACGTTTACGAATGCGACTGCGAATACCATTGCGAATACTTATATGACTTCGAATCAGATTAGGTTTATAAATTTATAAACACGACCTGCGTAGTCGATTACCACTATGATTGGAAATACGATTACGAATAGGTTAACGAATACAAATACAAATTCGAATACGTTTATGAATAATTTTGAATGAGATTACGAATACGATTACTATTATGATTGCGAATTCGATACAAATACGAATACGATAAAGAGTGCGGAAACGATTGCAATAACAATTGCGATTACGAATACGTTCACTAATACGAATACAAAAACGAATACGTTCATGAATGTGAATACGATTCCGAGCACGAATACGAATACGATTAGGAATATGACGACGAATGCGAATACGAATACGGTTATGAGTACGATTACAATTACGACTGGGATTGCGAATTCGACTAGGATTACAAAAAACGGTTACGAATAACAGTTTCGAGCCATACTTTCCAAGAATATTAACAATTATTAAAACAACAACACATTTAATAATGCTGAATAAAAAATTATTATTTTTTTAACCGACTTACAAAAAAAGAGGAGGTTATCAATTCGTCTGTATACTTTTTTCAAGTACTTATGTATATTACCATATAACTTCGGACCACCTGAACCATATTCGTTGATTTTTATCGGAAAGTTGGTACCCATAATAGGTTCCGATGATGAATAAACTAATTGTACTCCAAAAGTTTTACATGATTATTGAATTCCCAAGTTAATATAAATTTCTACGACATTGAACCACCTCTCACTGCGGCCATCTACATACCTTGTTTGTTATAATACAGCCAAAGGAAAAGAATACCGCCTGCAAACAATGACCCAGAAAAAAATCCGGCATGCAAAAAATGTGAAAACGATTTCAACAAACAAAGCTAGAAATCCATAAAAGAACGTAAAAATCTAAAAGCGAATAGCTCAAAGAGGAGCGTGAAAATAATTTTGTGTCGCCAAGAAACTTTTGCTGCTACCGAAGAAAGAATGTGGCACAACACGGCGGCAACAAACAGCCTTGCTGTAAATCAAGCAAAATGCCCAAATGGCCAAGTAGCCGAATAGGCAAGTAGCCGAATAGGCAAACAGCAAACGAGAACAACAAAAACCGCAGCAGCAGTAGCAGCTGCTGCTCACTCGCCTTTCACCACCCTCACCACGGCGCCTGGCCACGACTTGCCTTGCCTTTGTTAGCTTGTGCCACTTGGCGAGCGCGCTAACGTGCTGTCATTGCCATTTTCTAATTTTCACTTGCAAGCAAACAAATTCAACTCAAAATTGGAACACAGCGCGAAGTGATGGTCGAAATGGTGGCTGCTTGGTTGGCGAAGAGCAGCAGTGGTGTTGGTGAACGGCAGAGTGTGTCACCGCCACCGAATGTCCTTCGCTGTTCCGCCGCAGCAGCTGGTACACACAGCACCAGCGTAAGCGCATAATAACTATGAAGGGCGAACGCTTTATTTGCTGCCCCAGCATTGGCAGTCAACCGCCAGCCGCACGGCACCACACCCTCAACCACAGCTGTTGCACTGAATGGCCAGCCTTTGAGTGCCCCAGCTGTGGTTATTTGTTTTGTTTTTTTTTTTGTGTTTTCTTATCTTCATCATTTTTATCAGTTTTTCAACACAGAAATTTCTCCATTTTCTGGCACATAGCCCCCCCCCCCGCCGCCCCCTTTTGCTTGCTTATTCACACACACAATCACTTTATTCTCATACTCGCAGATAGCTTTACTTATACTTTGTCCTTGTTGTTCTCACTCTCTCTTTGCAGAATAGATTTTCGTCCTGGTCGTGGGATTTATGACTTGCAAATAAAAAACACCTCATACAATCGCGATAATGGCCGTTTCGAGTGTCGGATCAAGGCCAAAGGCACAGGTGCCGATGTGCATCAGGAATTTTACAATTTGACAGTTTTGACACCGCCACATCCGCCGATGATAACACCCGGCAACATAGCCATCGCCACCGAGGATAAGCCATTGGAGTTGACATGCAGCAGCGTGGGTGGCTCACCGGATCCGATGATAACGTAAGTAAAAGTGAAATAGTCAAGTGAAAATGGGTAACTTAATGACAGGTCAGAATATAGAAAGCAAATAAAGTTGGTACACATACTTACATACATACATACATACATGCTTTGGTTAGTTAGTGTATGTATATACAGACAAGCAAGCAAATATGAACAGCAATATAGTTATTGGTCCCCAAACAATCAGAGCAAAGTGGAAAAATAAAAATAGAACGGAAGAGAAAATTAAAGCTGATGGATGGGATGAGTACTTCTCCCACTGAAGGCGAGTTTTCTCTTAAAAAAAAAAAAATAAAATCAAAAGGAGTATTTTTAAACAAAACTTAGCGCTGGCAATCTACAAGGGTTGATCAAAAAGTGCAGGAAATCTGGATAAAGGGTTTGAAAGCAACGCTAATTATATATTAAAAAAAAATTCCTAGGTCTTCTAAATAATTAAAAATGTCCAACTGCACTAACTGGACGTCATTAATTTGTTTTGCTCGCATTTTTTATTAATTTTGAAAAAAAAAAAAATAGTAATCTCCAAAAGTAGATTCAAATATGATTAAGGAGAGATGTCTTAACTTCGTTGAAAACATTTCATTAAGCCGTCCTCTATTTACGCAAAAACTTAGTTGTCGAAATGTACCGATAGTTATCGAGTTATAAAAATGTATCGTCGTATTGAAATTTATCAAGTTAATGAAATTTTATTTTATATTTATTGAATAGTCAATATTTATCGACTGATCAACATTTATAGAGGTATCGAAGTTTATCGAATTAACGAAATTTATCGATTTCTTTTTAAATTATCGAGCCATCGATATTTATTGCTTTATCGATTGCTGGTAGTTATTGAAAATTTTAGTTTTATGGACTCGAAGTTTTTGCAAGTTTTTAAAGTACGAAATTTCTAGAATTTCATGAATTTATCGAGTTATCACTATTAGATCGAAATTTCAGATTATTTGGAGTTATCTAAATTTGTCGTTTAGGTATTGAAATTTAGCTAACTATTAAAATCGAGTTATCGATATATATCGGGATATGTAAATTTTTGAATTATCGAAATTTGTCCAGCTCTGGAAACGCACAGTTGTCTAGGATTATCGATAGTTATCGAAATTTTTAGAGTTATCGAATTTTATCGGGTAACTGGCACTCTTAGTTCAACTAATATTTAAACTATGAATGTGGCTATCCCACAAATCTTTTAAGCCAAACTAGTTGCAATGCCCAGCAGCTTAGTGTTCCTTATTCACTCTTGTTACAATTTCTCCTGATTGAATGACATGTGAAATTTTTAGAAATGCTAACATTTTGAAACATCTGCCTCTAAACACTTACAAACATACATACATATGTATGTATGCAGTATTGCGCAGATAGAGAATTGTACGCAGCACTTTTAATTGCTCATTTATCTCTTCCATATTTGAAGCTTTTGCAAAGTAACCAATGCCAAAGATTTTCGAGCAATTTATCATTCACAGAAATGCCTTTACTCATATGCATGTAAGTATGTATGTACTATATACATATACATATGTAGCTTGTACGTACATACATCTATGCGCCATTTCGGGCACCTAAATCATAGCAAAGCCCCAACCGACGATGGCAAAAGAAAGCTAAGTTCAAAATGAAATTAAAAGTAAACGCAAATTGATTGACTTTGAAAATTATGTTGACCTTAGAGCAAACTGATAAATTGGAGATGAGTCTGAATGTTACGTATACGCTGTGGAGTACGAAAACCCAAATGAATTCGGAAATAAATTTAAGAGAACATCCAGGAGCAATTTAGATTTCATACATATGAAGATTGTGAAGCTTCGAATGTAAGTAAATTTTATTCTGGCTAAATTTTTAGTACAACGCTCCGAATGATGGGCGAGTTTCAAGAATCGTTGGGAATGGAAAATTCAATACAAACACCTGTAAATGGAAAGTATATGTATGTAAGAAAAAGTTTAGCGTGTGTCAGCTTTATTTAAATACTTGTGTCGAGAAAAAATTTTGGCTGTGATTTTTAGCGGGTGCATAAAAAAAATTTTTACACCCAAAATTTTTTCTCGACATAAGAATTCAAATGAAATTGACCACGCAAAATTTTTTTTTCGTGATACGCCTTCATTTACACTGAAAAACTATTTTCCAATTTAGCCGATTTTTTTGAATCAGTCTAATATACATACATATGTATAATGAATATAACCCTTAATTTCGCTGCCGATCAAAAAATTAAATAGGGTATTTACCCAAATCTGTTATCTTTTGATAGAAATATTCAAACTATGTACCAAGTGTAATTACATAGGTCCACAACAAGCTTATAGTAAACGCAAACTGATGGCGGGAAGTGGCATAAAGTTGGCAAAATATATTGGAGGAAAAGTTTGATCTCAACCGCAGCAGGCTTGTGTTGCAATTACTTGCTATTAAATCTGTTTAAAATCGCACCATTTACTGCTAACATTAAACACGAAATTGCTGGCTCTGCTGAGTAACAATTGGCGGAAAAATATTAAAAATTTAACTATCTCAAGTCGACTTCCCAAACACACAAATCCAGTCGTCGGAAACCATTATCTTATCTCCCTCTCTGTCTTTCGCAAGCAAAAAAATCACTGCCACCACAGCCACACTAGAACTTAATTAAAAAGAAATGAACATTTAAAAGTGAAATGGTTTGATTGCAAAAATCCACACACACACACACACGCACATCCTAATACATGTATACATATACCAACAGCCAGCCAACGAAGACAGAAGCTGTAGCTTGTGCGCTGTCAACTCATACAAGAAAGTCAATAAATTATTTTGTAATTTTACTTGCGCCCATCCCTGCTAACGTCTCAGCGCATATCGTTTGCTGGTATATTTGCACACTCCAGCATTAAAGTTCATATTCATATACGCGTGTATGTATGTATGTATGCATGTATGATTGTGTGTACACTAGGGTGGTCCAAAAATGTATGGGAGAAAAGTAAAATCGGAAATTTAATGCTCTCACCCCCTAGGATTGTTCTATACCGAAAAAAAGTATGCCCCTGTTTTTTTATTTTAAAATCAAAATATATTTAAAGGTCGCTCAAAGCGCTTAAAGTTTCCCATGTATTTTGTATGGTGAAAAAAAGAGTTTTCGTAGAAATGGCATAGAATCCATGAAAATCCAAATTTTTAAATCTGAAAACTCTGCTTCTCTTCAGAAGACTTCAAAGAATAATGCCCAATTGTTTATTTAAACATTTTTTAGTTTTAACTATTTTTTAAGGGTCTCCGAAATATCCCCAAAAAAAAATCAAATATACAAAAAGAAATATACAAAAGAAAAAAAGAAAAATAGTTAGAATTAAAAAATTTTTAAATAAACAATTGGGCCGTATTCTCTGAAGTCCTCTGAAGAGAAGCAGAGTTTTCAGAATGAAAAATTTTGATTTTCATGGATTCTATGCCATTTCTACGAAAAGTATTTTTTCCCCCATACAAAATACATGGGAAAGTTTGAGCGCTTTGAGCGATCTCTAAATATACTTTGAGTTTAAAATAAAAAAAACAGGGGTATACTTTTTTTCGGTATAGAACAATCCTAGGGGGTGAGAGCATTAAATTTCCGATTTTACTTTTCTCCCATAAATTTTTAGACCACCCTAGTGTACACCCACAACGCTTTAACTGCACTTCTCCTCCATTTAAAACTTTACTCTGTTTGCCTATTTTATTTCGCTTTACTTATTGTTCCTTGGGTTTGTTCGTTTTTTTTTTTTTATTGCAGTTGGTATCGCGAGGGCAGCACTGTGCCATTACAATCGTACATACTGAAAGGCGGCTCCAAGAATCATTACACCAATGCCACATTGCAAATACTGCCAAGACGCGCTGACGATGGCGCCAAATATAAATGCGTCGTTTGGAATCGTGCCATGACCGAGGGTCATACGCTGGAGACAACTGTCACGCTGAATGTGAACTGTAAGTAGGCAATCAAATTAATTGCTTCTACGCCCGCTCACAAATAACCAAAAAAAAAAAAACAAAATACAAAGACACACACGCACACATTATTTCTACAATCACATTATGCGCATGCGACCAGCAGCCAGCCAGCTAGCCAGCCACACAAACAAACACACACAACTAAATGCAGAAATTTTGTAGAGAAATCAGTGAAACTGAAAATTTTGTTCGCTTGACTGGCTCGCTGGCTGGCTGGCTGGCTGACTGGCGTCTGACAACAACGACAACAACAGTAATGAGATATCATATAGCATTTTAGTCATTAATTCTTTGTCGTAATGAGCACAGAAAAGCGAAAAAAAAATTTATTTTTAAGCTTAAACTATGGGTGGGGCCCAGCGATTAGGCAGAAATGCTGGCATGGCAGTTGCGTTGATTGCGCATTGGCTTAGAATTATCTTAAGTTGTTGAGAAAAATTTTGGGTTGGCTCAAAATTTCCTAATTACCTAAATTATCCTATCAATTTTAAGAATAAGAAATTTGAAAGGCCGTTGTATGCCATTTTTATTTTTATGAAATATTTCTTCTTCATATTTGCATACGTTCTTTTAGGATTTGTAAACATTCTTAGAAAAAAAGGCATGGGATTATACTCTAATTACGGTGTGGATAGATGAGGAAGAGCGCTTCTTTTAATTAGACAAATTTTAATAATCTAATTAAATATTTTTTTACTCCAATCAGAATTCCTTTAGAAATTTCTAAAGGCAGATTTTAAATGCTTTAAGGATGCTATGCTGCAGACAACGTTGTAGACTATGTAGAGAGGCCTTAGAGCAAAGGGCTTAATATACTGGCCGACAGGAACGAAGTTTATTAGAAAATAAAGCAACAAATGAAAAGGTTAGGAATCCGGGTTGCTTGTTGTGAAAAAAAATGATTTAGATCTGGTACAGTACTTCGAATAGCTAGTACTTTTGAATAGCAAGAGAGTAATAATGGAGTTTATATCAAGAGCTTGTACCAGCTGCCTGCTCAAAGTCTGCCTAGCAACAAACATAGACCAAATGAGGTTTTATTTACATAAACAGGGCGAGTACTGTGACTTTTTCCACTCGTTGGTCTTAACACCGTGCCTGTCAGCGCAGCATTTTGCAGCTCGGATAACGAAGACGACTACTAAATAGACAAAGTACATCCTGGCAACACACAAAGTATTTAGTTAAGAATTTTGCCTACCTACGATCCAGAGTAAAGAGAAGAAGAATTTTCGCCAACAGGTGATACTTGGGGCTCGGTAGACAATTGAAAAGCATAGCCGGTTTTTTATTAAAATTTCAAAGTCCTTTAAGAAAATCCTGACGTCAAAGTGTTTCCTGTGTATTCTTTAAACATTTATTAAAGAACTCGCTTAACGATGTTAACATCTATATTTTGAAAAAATCCAATCTTCTTATTAAAAGGTCTCCAAAAATTCGATAGGGTTAGTTTCAAAAACTCGCGATGGTGTTGGGTGTGACGGTGCCAATTGTTTAAGTGTATCCTCTTGCAAAGGCAAAACACGCGACACACAAGTAATACGTCTAAAAAAATTGTCGGTCGTCTGCATAAATCAAAAATTTTGAGTGATAAATAAAATCGTTCGCAAAATATTACGCTAAGGCAACCACTCTGGAACGATGCTACGTAAAATTGAGAAAAAGAGGCTAGATTCGTGACCGTCGAGCGCCCGCTGACAAAGCGATGCTGATACGGTTCGATTATTCCTTTAGCAGAAAAAATATATATTTTTGAAAAGTTTGGAAATGGTTATCAGTTTGAAAATGGATCTACAATTTGTGACATCATTTTTTGTTTCCATTTATAGTGTATACTATTCATAAAAGTTTATTAATTGATAAGCAGGCTTCCAATTAAGGTTGTAATTAGTGTGGAGTCCAATTGCCTAAATTTTTATTTATTTCTTTCATATAAACCTTTATTCACTAAACTTGAATTTTTAGACTTCTATAGTAAATTTCAGTTTTTACCTACATACATACATATATATCGTTTATATTCTTCTCTCATCTAAATTTTCCTTTACTTAAAGATAGCTACCCCTTATTATTTAGCATGGAAAAACCTGCATTCAGGTTGCGTATACGCAGTGTTGTCTAAATAAGATTTAGTTTACTTTCGTCAGCTCACAAAATGTATAAAAATAATTAAATTCTTAGACAAAATTATTTCTTTTATTTAATATTTCTGTTTGTTAGAACTAATCAAACCTACCAATGAGATTTATGTGCTCTAAATAATTGAATTCGATTGAATTCAGTTCAAATATTACTCATACGCCGAATACTCATGTGCCGAATAGCCGAATATCTACATACAAACATGTGTTCGTGTATAGTACATGCATATGTATGTGTGTAAGTAACAAGACGAAAGACTGTAAAACATGTTCGAACGGAAATATACTTGCATATAACTGCACATTCGAGCTTAAAGTAAATAAACCAAAATTAAAAACCAAGCAGCTGCAAAAGGAATTTCATTTGTAGTAAAACCAAAAACTAATAGAGGCAAATTAAAATGGTTACGCAAACAAATAGAGTAACATACATACAACCGACATATAACCAACTAACAACACAAAATCACAAAATTCATTTTTCACATTGCAAAATTCACATTTTTAAGAACATATGGAAGCCTCTAAGTATTTGCATGGATTTTGAAGAGTCATTCCGACAAAGAACTTGAAGGGTGGAGGGGGGAAAAAAGAACGAGACTAGGCAGCAAAACTATCGAGTCGACGAGTGGGTGGACACTAGTGGCAGAGTGGACACGAGTGTTAGAGAATGAAATATTTTTCAAGTGTAAGTAAGTTAGGGAAAGCTGAGGATGACATTTTCATAATATTTTAATACTAAGTTTTAGGAAAAGTATATAAACTATGCAGAAAACTTGTAGACATATGACCGTATGTAAATATGTGCATATATTTATTAAAATATCTAAAACAGAAATATCATTGCTGGAAATTCCACTCCAATGACTAGTTTAGAGTGCATCTTAATGCTAGACTTTGCGACATATTTTTCCATGTATGTATGTACGTAAGTATGTTTTATTTTCTCTTGGCAAGTACGTGCATTTGTAACAGAAATGTATATGTGTACGTATGTATATGTAATGATAGTCCTGCCCTTAAGTGTGTGACTTTTGATTTCAGCTATTCATCATCATGCCTTACGGAGAGCTACTGAGCCGCTTACAATCGTGATATCAACCAAAAAATGTTTGAGCTTCGGTGGACGCATTAAAGCAAGCTTCACTTGCAGCATTCCAAAGAACTGAAGTAGAATTAAATTTGGTTTTATTCTTGAGACTGTGTCGGCAAACGTAGGCAAGAGTTGAATAAAAGCGAGAACAAATCAAAGGAAAAGCAAAAAAAGCGGCTTCACGATGTTACAGTTTTTTATGTGTGAAATGAAAATATTCTGGAAGACTAGTAAAGACTTGTTTGGTCAGTCAAAGCCATGGAATAGCGTTGGTTGAACCGCCCCAGCAAAACACCAGCTGATTGATATGAAAATAGGGTAATCTGCTAAACTTGATCGTAGTAACGCCAGTGGTCTTATGCCTCCCAATGAGGCCAGTATGGGAAGGCTTGAATACAAACTTCAAAGTGCTCAGATATTTATTCTTAACTGGAATATAGAGAATCCCCAGAAAGGACGGTCCGCTGTTTCTTCTGATTTAGTTGTGTTGTGATCCAGTCTCACTACGTAGTAACATCCCAGTATTCTCAGGTGCATGATACCCTCTTTTACAGCTGAAGTATAAAAGTTCCGGACTAGTTCCTCATTGCTCTTTGATTCAACACAACGAAATTTCTGCAGACCCAAACCGTAAAGTTCTCCCTGCATTGTTCACAAGACTGGAAGTAATTGTAACTAGGCCTGGGTAACGGCGCAAATTTTTTGGCGCTGGTACACTAACTCCAGCGCCACTGTCGGATTCAGCACAGTGTGTTGGCGCAATTGCGCCTCTTCAGGCTAAAGCTCATTTCCTTTATTGCTGAACGCTCCACCAAAGTGAATTAATACAAGGTGATATCGGTTGAGAAAAAACTCAAGTATACCCAAGTTCAAAACACAAAAATACAACAAACCCATCATTTTCACATTCAGAAGGACCGCGACGAATTCTAGCAACGCCACCTTGTATAAATTCGCCTTGTGCTGCACATTTTACAAGTGACACTTCGCTTTTGGGTGTTCTTTGCTGGTTCTTTGCGTCGCCTGGTGTCGTCAGTGTTCCGGTGTTGCTGGCGCCATTGCGTCACTGAGTTGTGAAAATCGGTATCGGCGCCAGTAACTCAGCTCTCGGTATCAGCACAATGGCGCGGCGCCGCACTGTGTTACCCACGGCTAATTGTAACATAGTCGGGGGCTCTTATCGCCGAATGGCTGTCGGTGTCTTATAGCTACTCCACCAAGCGAGCTAGTTGGAAGAGATGAGTCGTGAATTTAGGTTCAGCGAAACCAGATGGCTAACAAGTTCAGCGTCGGCACAGTCTATAATTCTTGAAAAACAAACCAGTCTTGGCAGGCAATCGCAAGCCTCCGAGTGTAATTCCGCCATGAAAATATCATCTCATAAAAATGCAATAGGCATTCGAAGTCGACATAAAATTTTACGTCCCTTACAAAAGTACTGTATTTTTATCCGGTTAGCTTAACCCATTTCAGGTAGAAACCGGAAGGCGATAGTACGACCAAGAGATAGAGTATCCCCGACTTGGAAGCACATTTTTTTCTTTTCCCAATAAAAAATATTTTCCTCAATTTAAGAAGGTTTTAGAAGGTAGGAACGGGTGGTCTAGGACACACTGTATATAAATATCCAATCAGAATCTAATTTTTCTAGATTTGGAGGTTCTTAATCTTACTCTGAATTGTAACCGTTGATTAAATTTCAATTGAAATATGTACCCGCAAATAGAAAGGATGACCTCGTG